GGACAGGTTAGAGCAGACGGCCTGCGAGATGGACATTTGCAGATGTTCTCAAGCAACACGCTGCCAATTAAGAAGCAGGCCACAAAAATAAACTGAGTGTGAAACAGAAAGGTGCTGGCATTCGTCATGAGCTGTTTCTGTAATGCACAACTCAGACCCTAGGGATTTCGAGAAATGTTTACAAACCTTCACGCACAGACTTAACCGGTCTGATCGCAAGCTTGTTTCAATCTCAGGGGAAAACTAAGAGCAGGCATCATTCATTCTCAGTATAACTACCAGTCACAACGCAGGCTTTCAAATTTGCTGGGTCTGTTTAGCTGTTTCTGTAGCAATTTTCACCTGTAGCCCAACTGCAGCTCTCAAACCAAAACGCATCCTTCCAATTTCCCACTTTCAGTCTTTGAGTGCTCTCACATACACACAACAGCAGCTGCTCACCACCAGTCTTTTCTAGGGACGGAGGCCCCTTCCCTCCCAACCACAAGAGCCTGCTTTGTAGCTGCAGCTGTGAGCAAGGGATGTGTTTGCTCTTTCAGTTGCCCCTTTTGGTGCAATCTCTTCAAGGATAGGATATGACTCACTGGAAATTGTACTGTCCTAAGACCTGGTGTTTACGCCTGCTTAAGGCTTCACCTTTGTATTCATGGCTGATGCTGCATAATTCACCTCCATCTGTCCTGGTTTTCCAATCAGAATTAAAAATACATGTGTAAGAGAAGATGGAAAAGAAAGTAAGCGGTGCCTATGGTTCTGCAGTCCTCAGCCACATGTTCCGCCTGTACTGGAGAAACCTTCTGCTAAAGCTTCTGCAAAAGGCACTTTGGCCTCACAGAATACATTTCTAATGAACCAAAGGTTTTCTTGGAAAACTCCCAACCTTCTCAGCTACCAAGTGTTGCTGCGGAGAATGGAAGAGATGCAGACCCCAGTGAACACACGCTCAGGCTCCATTCAGGTGCTTTTCCACTCCTGAAACTTGAAGGACTCAGCCAGTTTTGCTTGTAGGAGATAAAATTTCTTTTATTACGAACATAAAAATTACTGTTTTCATTCTACATTTTTTCCCCTACCCAGCGAGGGATTTTCTCTTTATGAAAAATGCTTACTCCAAGTAAAAAAAGATAGAAATTTTTATATATACACCCATAGACAATGTCTCTGTACATCTGTTATTCTGTACAACGAAGGCACCAGCAGAAGTGACAATGGCACGTGCAGGACTTTTTTGCTATTGATGTCATTTCAGATTGTTTAGGGACACCTAAGGGAGGTTAAGGAACAGCCCCATCCATCCTCACTGAAGCAACGACTCCTTTTTCTCTTCCTCCTCCCTCTGAGGATATCTTAACTAAACAGAGGTGAACATGGACACACGTAACCCTGATCTCCTGGTAACTGCAACAGACTTCTTGCATTCAGCTGCTACTCTAGGAAACCTGTATTTTCATCCAGAAGAGATGCTGGACCAAACTACAGGAGTCTTTTGTCAAGGAAATTTAACCTGTATTTTGCCTAAGTAAAGACTGAACAAAAATTAAAGCAGAGCCCTCCAGAATCAGACAGCAATTACAAGACTCCCATCACCAGCTGCTGAAATAAAATCTTCTGCTCTGGGGAAATAAAGGGGGAAAAAAAAGAGCAACTTCTGTTGATAAAAACCTGCATTTGAGAATGGACAAAATAAAAGTGTGAGCAATAGCGTGGCCTCGCGGACTGCAACCAATACAGCTTTATTCCATACTCCAGGTTTGTCAGCACAGCATCTTGCCAAACAGCTGGTGAAGGCGTGAACTCTCAAAGGAGTTGGGCTGTGTTGAAACCAACAATAGAACTGAGAAATAGCCCGGAGCAGCTGTTAAATCTTGCCATTCACACTGCTAAAAAATCATCTCAAAGCAGAACAGGGTAAACACCACACTTAAGCACTTTTAAGTTTGAAGTGCAGCTGCAGTCAGAATAGCGAGGATAAAATGCCATCTTAGCTCTGTATTTACACTTCACTCTCTCAGCAACAAATCAGACGCCTTGAGTTTAGAAAAGAAAAGTCTGTTTGCTTTTACCTGCCAAGAATCCAAAGAAAGAAACCTCTCTGGGATTTTTCTCTCTGGTAATACACGCTCCTTAGACTCTAAGGCCAACCAAGGTTGATTGCAGGAGTTTCTGTTCTAGCCTGCCTGACGAATTACGCCTTTGTATTCTGCAGAGCGTGCTGGGAAGCACTGAGCAGCGAGAACCTTTGTGTCCCCCTTCTCTTCAGAGAGCAAATGCTGCCGACAGCGAGAACAAGCTAAAGTAAACGAGACAATTCCCGTCTGTAACCCGGTGCCCTTCAACGCTTTGACGGCAATCGCCCATCGACTGTTCCAAGGCAGCAGGAGAGCAGAGGGGAAAGAGGGAGCGTTGCAAACTGGGATGAGAGCGCAGTTCACCGGGCGGACAGAGATCACTCTTCTGCTCCTGCCGCTCAGACGATTGCCTCTCCTGGCTTGCTCCGTGCCTCTCGCTCACAGCAGTGGAGGTGAACCCCAGTTTCTGTTTCTCTGAGCAGCCAGCTGGCTGCACCTCATTTCTTTCTGCGGATCTTGGGCTTTTTCACTGGCCGGAGGTAGGGATTGTCTATCACATTTTCCTCCCCGTTGCGACTGCCCGACAGGGAGGTGTTCTGCTGTAGCACTGAAGCATTCTCCTTTTCAGGCCCTGAGTCATCCTGCCACCATAAAAAACAAAGGCATAAACAAGCAACGTTAGGCTAAACAAGGCTTAGAAGTTCCTACCACATAGCCTATGGGCAAAACAGATAATCAGGAGCCAAGACAAACAGGAGCTGCATTAAAGGTGAGGACTCATGATTTCTAACACAAATAGATCCCCTTTGTGGGATCCTAGGACACTGAAAGGAAGGTTGCACTGAAAGCTCATGATCCAACCACATTTTGCATCACACCCTGCAGAAGGTTCAAGAACCATGACAGCATTTAGCAATTTCCACCTAGTAAAACACAACCCCCTGCCCTTCTCCACCCACTCTGCCCAGCTGCAAGGACGACAGGCAAAGATCAGCTTTCACACGTGTAAGAAAGTCAGGCCCAAGAGACCTCGATCTCTCAGGCTGGACGCACCGTGCTCATGTGCAGGGGGAGGTTCTCGGTGTCTGTCTGCTCGTCTTGCTCAGACGAATCCGTTTCCTCCATTTGCTGCATTTCCAGCTCCGAGGGGAGAAGAGCTGTCAGGTAGGGCACGGTGAAAGGCCTGGCAGCAATCACTAGGTTTGGGGAAAGGAACACAGTCAGCGAGCTGGGAAAAGACTCCTCAGCTTGGAGATTACGAAGCACAAAGCCAACCAGTTACTTAGAGACCAAACACTTTCACCGGCTCTGGTTTTAAACACACACACACGTTTCCTGCTGCTCCCAGGGATCAGGAATGAAATGTGCTGTCCCTAGAATTGCAGTCTCCAAATTCCTATTTTCTGAGGCCCTTTTACATTTCCAGCTGAGGACACAGCATTACACTAACATAAAAAAAATCCACAAAAATGCAAGAGAGAAGCTGTTACCTGTTGAGAAGTTACAGAGGGTCAGAAACAGGACTGGGACGAGCTTTGACTTTAGCACCCATCAACCAAGGCAGCAGAAGCAAGCCAGCCTTTGGTGAGGGTGAAATCCCACCATTTGGCTTTGATTCTGTTTTTCATCCTCATTTTAAATAGGAAATTCCTCACTTCCCAGCCTTCCAGTGCCTCACAAGGGCAAACCCAATGTGATGTTGTTTATAAATTTGTTTATAAATTTGTAAAATGTTTATCAATTTGGAGAGGGCAGTGTCAGGAGGAAGGAGCCAGGCTCTGCTCTGGGATGTCCAATGCCAGGACAAGGGGCAATGGTCCCAAGCTGGAGCACAGGAGGTTCAAGCTGAAGATGAGGCCAAACTTTGTCAGTGTGAGGGTTATGGAGCATGGCCCAGGCTGCCCAGAGAGGTTGTGGAGTCTCCTTGTGTGGAGACACCCAAAGCCCTGGCCGTGTTCCTGTGTGACTGCTCTGGTGATCCTGCTCTGGCAGGGGTTGCACTGGGGGAGCTTTCCAGGTCTCTTCCAACTCCTCATATTCTGTGATTCTGTGATCCTTCAGTGCTCCAGCAGCAGCAGGATCTCTACTGGAGCATGCACTGAGTCAGACAGCTCTCATTTACAGCACAAAGTAACTGGATAACTCACGTGGGAAGGTGCTAACATCGTCTTTGAAGAGACTCTGTGTTTCTCCCGTCTTAGCCATGAACCGGGTGAGAGCTCTCTCTACATCGCGCCGTTGAGATGCTGCCTTTTCCCGCAGGACTTGATAATCGGACACCGGCTCCCGGTACGTCTGTGGAGCGGGGAGGGAAAAGAAATGACACCGTCAGCGGACACAACGCAGGCAGCTGA